CTGAAGATGACCAGACACAATGGCTATGATAGGCACCTCATGAAAACAAAGTTGCTCTACAAATGTGGTCTTATACAAAGATGGTGGCATTATTCTTGACAATTTCCTATTTGCTTGGCAAAAAACAGAGAGCCACTTCCTGTAACTTAGTCCTAAACCCCCTTACCTGGGGCCTGCCCCAGCTTACAGAGATGGTCTGTGGTGCTGCTGTTGCAGCTTCACCGGAGTTAGGGTGGTTAGATTGTAGGATTAATGTCAGTAATGGGCTGACCTCAGCTGAAGGAAGTGGAGAGATGTAGAGCCACTCCCACTGCTCAACCTTCAGAAAAGCAAAGTGACCTCTCATGAAGCCCTCAGCTCACATCCTAACTTTTCCCCACACTGTAAGCCCACACCATACTCAACAGTGAGCTGAAAGGATTCAATTCCAACATTAAATTGGTTGGAGCAATAAAATGTCCAGTCTGTGCACCTCTCCACACCCAATTCCACCATTTGACTGCTGCACCTACCATATTCCATTGTAAATACTGCTTCCCTCCCCTCCCCTGCCAAAAAAAAAAAAATAATAACTTAAAAATTATACCCCTAAAGATTTGCTGTTTGTTTTGTTTTTTGTCTTATTCTTGAAATCCATGTTCCCGTTCCCCTCCACCACTGTGGAGAAGCAGAAACGAAAGGACACGCCTGTTTACTTAGCAGGTGGACCGTGCACCTGTGTTGATTCCCCTGCACCGGTGGCCTGCCCACCCACCAGAGCTCCCCAGGAACGTCCGGCGGACTGCCTTGCCTGAGCATCCCCTCCCCGCAGCAGCGGGCTTCCTCTTCCCTCTCCGCAGGCAGCATTTATTTGTACGAAGGTCTTCTAGCCTTGCAGAATAGTTGCAGGTGGGGGAGGGGAGGCGCAGGGTTCAGGTTCAGATTCCATTTGTCTTTACAAAGGGACCGCCTTTCCCTCGTGGACTTACTTGTGGTAGGTGTGTCGATTGTGAAGCTAAGTTGCTTAATTATAGGGCTGATTGCCGGGAGCCAAAGGATCACCCACCCTAACGTTCCCGGGGCGCCCTATTCTGTCTTCCTCTTCTTAAGGACTCGGTGACTGCCAGGCCACAGACCCACGGCAGGCCCCTGCCAGAGGCTCAAGAAAACCAACCCGACTGTCCCCGCTGCCTGCTGCTCTCTGCTCACAGGAGGGCGCTCGCTCCGAGCCCCAAGTTGTCCGCCACTGGAAGACAGGCGGCGAGGAACTGGAAGAAAGGGGGAGGAAAGGGGCGTAGGGCGGGAACCTAGTGGGGCGCGGGAGGGGTTGGGGAGTGCGTACTTTTCCAGAGGGAGCTGAATAGAGCCAAGGCTTGGGCATGGCTGTGCAGAGACGGAATTCGGTCCCCGGTCTCTTGCAGCGAACAGCGCGACTTCTCCCTGCAGGACAGGGGAGGCAATAGAGAAGGAGGGGCTCCAAGAAGGTGAGGCTCCCAGCTGTTTACCAATCCCCACCCAGTGGAGACGGAAGACAACTTAATTCCACAAAGTTGGACCCCCAAGGGAAGTGGGGGAGGTGAGAGGGACGGAAGGATGTGGTCTCCGTCTAAAGTCAAGATCTCTTCCCCAGGAGCTGGAGGTGAACTTGCACAGCTCGGACTAGGCCTAGAGAGGCTGCATGATGTGGCATCACCCGGAAACAGCATTTACCCTCCTTACCCTCTTCCCTCCTGCCTGAAAACACTAATGCAGACGATGGACAATAATTCAATTAGTCATCTTCTCTGATGGGGCTGAGATCCAGGCTGGGATCCCGTGGAAGTGCCGAATGAGTCATTATGCTGAGGCTGCAGAGACACCCCGCCCCATTACTGAGCACCCCCTGGTTCACGTGTTGGTGCAGCTGCCAGCTCCTCAGACCATCATTCCAACAAAAAGGCCCTCATCCCTGAATGCAGGGACACACTCCTAGAGTGTGCCTCCCCGACTCCACCTGGGACCTGCGCAGCCGCAGTAGACTCAGTCACACAGCGTCCTCACTAGTCTAGGAAACTCCCTCAGCCAAGCCTCGGACATCTCAGATGTGTCCTATCTGCCCCCTGCACTGTGGTGAGAAAGGGGACCCAGGGCCCTTCTTGCCACACCCAGAGCAAAACTCATCTGGGAGCCTCTGGGACTGTCTCTGCCCCACTTCCAGGCCCCCAAACCCCATCACATCCCAGCCCAGGGACCATTTCCATCTCCAAGCTCATCCCAGGACACTCTCTACTGGAAACCACTTGAGCCTTTCCTTAGGATGGCATTGCCAAGAGGGGCATCTCTCCTCATTCACATCAAGGCACCTTATGTGCTAGAGGGAGCCTTGTCAGGGTGGGTCCCCTGGCCTGGCGAGTCAATGAGTCATTTTCAGAGGTTGACTATGGGCAAATCTTCTGATGGCTGGTGCCCCGCTAAGTCAAGGAGGAACAGAAATAATTCGGAAACCAGGACACAAGGGTAAATTTGACCAAAAAAAAATTTATTGTACAATTACCCACCACTGGATTTGACTCAGAGAGGACCCCCAGAGGGTGACTCCATCTTCTCTATTTATTTTCAGCCCTTGAGGGCTTCATTGTAGATCAAAGCCAAGGCCCCCAGGAAGGTGACATACTCCTGGAAGTTCACCTCCTGGTCCTTGTTCCGGTCCAAGTCTTCCATCAGCCTTGCAATTTCAGCATCCTGCAGCTTCTAACGTGTTAGAATGTGAAATCCAGACTCAGTGGTGATGACAATCTTGGATTCTTCCCCTTCCCCCTCCCAGGCAGCCATCTCTGCAAGTGGATCTGTGCTCCCTCATCACCAAGGACCTATGTCCACCTTGAGTTTCACTTTGGCATTACTTCTCCTCAGCTACTCCTCAGTTACTGGTCCTCATTTGGAGCGATGGATATCAGGCTAGGAGCATCCCCTACCCGCTGGGAGAGTGGGTCTACAGCTCAGTAAGACATGTGGACCAGGGCCTCAGAATGTGGGTAAATGTGAGTCAGATGCACCTGGCACCTCTCCCTCCCCTAATCCTGCTTCCAAAGGACAAGGGTGGGAAAAGGGGTCCTGCAGAGGAGGCCACTCACCGAGCCAATGGTGAGCTCCTTCTGGATCAGCTCCTTCAGCTCCTTCTTGCTCAGGGTGTGCTTGTCACCCTCCCTGCCGGAGTACTTGTGGAAGATGGCCACAAGGAGGCCGATGGCCTGATCCAGGGGGCATGCCATGACTGAGGGCTGGACTTGGAGCTGGCAGCAGAGGGCCTTGTCAGTGCCATGGGAGCAAGGACTTCTCACCCACACCCCCCAATAATGCTGCCTGCACTAGCCCCGACCCCTTTGGAACCACCCAGTCTCAAGCCACACACAATGGCATCAGGAGACAGACCAGGACTTGAAGGGGAAGGAGAGAGAAGACTAGGGCCAAGGCAGGAGAGGTGGCTTAAGGATTCTAAGAAGCATATAGGAACAGTAGCTTTGGGCATAGCTGAGAACTGTACTTCAGGGGATCCGGAAGTTAGGGAGTATGGCTGGGCAGGGGAAGGGGATAGAGGCTGCACAGGCAGCTTAAGAACAGCCTCACAGGGCCACACGTGGTGGCAATGACACACCCAGGGCACTCCCTTCCGCACCCCAAAAGAGCACACCCCATTGGGATCCCTTAGCCCAAGGCCTGCCTGGCATAGCACTGCTGCTCCTGACTATCCCTCCAGCCGGGGAGCGCCACAGACGGCCCCAGTCTGGATCCAGCAGCTGGACTGGGCAGGGGATGGCCGGACCCCCAGCGTGAGGACGGCTGGCCCTGGGAAGTACCCAGGGCTCCTGGCGAGAACTCACCGGTAGGGAGGCGGCCAAGTGCGACGGGAGCGGTCGAGGGGATGGGCTGTGTCGCAGTCCGGCTGGCCTTATAGCGGTCGATGCCCCGGAGGCCGGCTCGGCCAAGCCCACCCCACCCGCCCAAGTCCCGCCCGCGCCCCACCCTGCGCCTTGGCTTACACAACGCACATTCGCGGTTTCTCCCCTCGACTTTCCACGCCTCCTGCCCGGGGCTGTTCCGGGTTAGGACGGGATGGGGGAACCCAGCAGATCCCACTGCACGCCCGGTGACGACGAGTCTTCCCTCATCTGCGCAGCTCACTTTGCTCAGTTTGCTCTTCGTGACACGTGACTCGGCAAGGGGAGCAGGAGGCGGACGGCGGCGGTCACCCCTGCTCCCTCTGCCAGACCGTGAATGTGACCCTCGAGCCAGCGCAGCGTCAATGTGGGCAAGGAGGGCGCCTCACAGGATGCCGGTGTCCCACAGAGGATACTCAGGGTCACCCCAGAGGAGATAGGGGGAGTAGCCTGTGGTCTAAAGGATATCTATGGCACCCATCCCCCACCAGCAACAAGTTCCTACGACATCTCCACGCCTTCCCCTCACTGCCCCAAATTCCATTCACTGCAGCACCTTTCGTGTTAGTGTGCATGCAGGCGGGAACCCAGCCCTGTAAGCACCATTCGTTATTTCAGACCCTCCCCTGTGAAAAGATTTTGATGGAGGAGGTAGGGAAAGAAGAAAGCATTGGTCCCCAGAGATGATGAGAGGGGTGCTGTTGAAGGGGAAATGGAGAAGAGGGAGGGGGCTGGTGTGGAGGCCAGACTTGCCCTTTCTAAAGGTGCTGCCAAGGTGGCCTCCGGTGAGCTGCGGACAAGTCAGGCCTGCCTGCCACTCCCAACCCCTCCCAGTGTCCTCCTCTCAAAGCAACTTTCCCTCTTAGCTTCCTCTGCATCCTTGCAGAGTTCCCGCCTGACCTGACTTCCCCGTTTTCCAGGCAGGCAAAACTAAGCCATGACAAGACCAATGAGACATCCACACCAAAGAAGGAGAAGAATGCAGTGGAAGCCCAGGACCCTAAACCCCAGAGGCAGAGGCTGTCTCAACCCACTCAAGGAGAGACCCCTCCTGTGCTCCCCTCTCCCCAGGCCAAGGTAGACAAGACAGCTTCAAAACCAGACTCCCAGCACCTGCCATGGAAACTTTATTTCCTCCCATGGAAGGGTCCATCTGGGAGGGAGAGGAGGGCAGGGGGCTAAAGAGGGTCCGTGAGAGGAGCAGCCAAGGTCAGCAGCAAGGGGTGGAGGGTAAGGGTGGAGGGCAGCCCAGGTCACTTCTTGTCCTCTAGGAAGAAGTCGTTGTAGGCCATGCACAGCGTGGTCAGGAACACCGAGTACTCCTTGAAGTCAATCTCCTGGTCACTATTCTTGTCCAGGCTCTTCATCAAGTCATCGATGCTGTTGTCCTTCATCTTCACAGACCCAGGTGGAGGGACAACTCAGACCCCACTCCCAGCCCTGCCCTCACACCACTGCATGGTGTCATACCCACCCTGAAACCTCAGTGTGAGCCCCAGCGGAGTCAGTGACACTGTCAGCATCTTGACCCCCAGAGTCTGCCCGCTGCCCACACCTAGGCAAGGGCCTGGCACGAGGTAGGGGGTCAGGGACCTGACTCCTAAATGGAAATAAATGACAGCAGGAATGCTAGCCTATCCTGCCTTCCCTGCAACGCCGTCCCCCAGCCAAATAAACAATCATCTGGGTTTTATACCAACACCTGATAAAAACAGCTTGCTGGGTCAGGCGCGATGTCTCACACCTGTAATCCTAGCACTTTGGGAGGCCAAGGCGGGTAGATCACTTGACATCAGGAGTTCGAGACCAGCCTGACCAACATGGTGAAACCCCATCTCTACTGAAAATACAGAATTAGCAGGGCATGGTTGTGCATCCCTGTAATCCCAGCTACTTGGAAAGCTGAGGCAGGAGAATCGCTTGAACTTGAGAGACAGAGGTTGCATTGAGCAAGATCATGCGCATTGCACTCCAGCCTGGACAACAAGAATGAAACTCCTTCTCAAAAAAAAAAAAAACCTTGCTGATTATGTGGCACTGAGCGTTATCCAGGTCTCTGAGTGACTCTCTCCCCGTTCTAAGGACTAGGTGAGAATAAGCCCAAACAAAATGTCTCTCAATGAGAGCAGTGCACCGGGGCTGTGAAGCCACTGCATCCCTCTGCTGCTAGGAGAGCTGTGCAAGAGGCCTGCCTGGAGCCCAGTTGTGCACTCTTGTCTGGTCCTCTGATGTTCCAGCCTGGGTCCACTACGACGATGGAGTCAGGGTCCTTTGGGTGGAACAGGAATCAAATATAGACAAGCAGATCCTGATGTCTCCTCATCATTGCCATGAGCTACACGTTTTCACAGGAGACATTGGGACTTATGGAGGTGGAAACTGCTTGTCTGTGATATAATCCTAGTCCCCAGCCTGGGCTCCTGTTATTGCCAGGCCCTCCCCCGGGCATTTCTCCTTCTGTAATTAACCCCTGCTGTACCCGTGGCCCCTCCCTTTGCCCTCATTAACTCCAGGATGCAGGGAACATGGCAGAAGCCAGAGATCAGGCCTGGGGACGCCCACACCTGCTTTGGTCCCTTGCCCATGTGGCACACTGTGGACCTTCTTTCTGGGAGGGCCTACCAGGGCTCAAGGTGTCATAGATGGAGAGGTACCCAGGCCAAATTTTAAAGGAAACAGGGAGGATAATTCACCGGCCTGGCCCAGAACTCCAGTTCAGCCCCCTTAGGCAAGTTATTTGATGCATTTGAGCATTGATTTTTTTAACTGTAAAAATAATAAGACTAGGCACAGTGGCTCACGCCTGTAATTTCAGCACTTTGGGAGGATGAGGCGATAGGATTATTTGAGACCAGGAGTTCAAGAGCAGCCTGGGTAAAATAGTGAGACCTCATCTCTACAAAAAATTTTAAAAATTATCTAATCGTGGTGGTACTCGCTTGTAGTCCTAGCTTCTCAGGAGGCTGAGGTGAGAGAATCGCTTGAGCCTGAAAGTTCAAGGCTACAGTGAGCCATGAGCACACCACTGCACTCTAACCTGGGTGACAGTCTTATTTATCCTTGGTCAGGCGCAGTGGCTCACACCTGTAATCCCAACACTTTGGGAGGCCGAGGTAGATGGATCACGAGGTCAGATGTTCAAGAGCAGCCTGACCAATATGGTGAAACCCCATCGCTACTAAAAATACAAAAATTAGCCGGGCGTGATGGTGCGTGCCTGTAATCCCAGTTACTCAATAGGCTGAGGCAGGAGAATCACTTGAACCTAGGAGGCAGAGGTTGCAGTGAGCCAGGATCATGCCACTGCACTCCAGCCTGGGGGACAGAGCAAGACTCTGTCTAAAAAAAAGAAATAAATATATATATGTATATTTATATATTTTATATATGTATATATATTTATCCTCAGGGATATTGTATTATAATAACCTCCTGGGCCTTCCCCTTTGTCAGTCACCTCCCTCCCGCCACCTCCATCTGGTGAGAACCAGTTCTGTCTCCTGGCTACCCTATGTTTACGAGTTAACATAGGGTAACTTGTAAACATAGTTTCAGTTGGAGAGCCAGCACCATTGGAGAGCCCTGGCCATGCTGTGCACACAGAGAAGAATCAGGTGGGGTCCCTACCCTTGGGTTGTACACAGCTGGACCTGGACACTGTGCATCCCTTCACCACCCACGGCCCCTAGCACAGGTTCTGCCACTGCTGCGAAAGCCTAGCCGCACCATCGAAGGCTCAGTCTCCTTCTCTAAACCCTCCAGACTCAGCCCTTCCTCCTCCTCAGTGAGACCTTGACGCATCCTCCTTCACAGAGGGCTAGAGTTTTGCTGGCCCCAAATCCCCACCGTCTTCCTTTGTCTCTGTCTGTAGCCCTTGGCCACCCTGCCCCTGGCTTAGGCTGGAGGATCCTGGGAGTAGGTATGTGTCCCCCAGAGGGAGTACTCAGACTTTGGGGTGGAGGATGAGGGAACAATCACCTACCTCCCCAAGACACAGCTCTTTCTTGATCAGCTCCTTGAGTTCCTTCCTACTCAGGGTCAGTTTGCTACCCTCTCTCCCCGAATATTTGTGAAACGTGGTCACCATAGTGGTCAGGGCCTTCTCCAGAGGGGTCTCCATCACAGTGTGCAGCTCTGCAGAGGGAGTGGGGAAGATCCCATTCCTCAGGAAGTCACCACCAGCAGCACTAGCCTACCTCTGAGGCCCCTCCCTCAAAGACAAGAGACTGGAACCCAGGATGAGACCGAAATCCACTAACAAGAGCACCCGTCTGTATCAGCACAGGTTACAGTGAGACCCACAGCAAACCCTGGAGCAGATGGTACGAGGAGAACGGCCAGCCCCCAAAGCAGACCACAGACTCTCCTGCTTGGGAGTTGTTGAAAAGGAGGCCTGGGGCAGAAAGATGACAAGACGACCTCCTCAAAAAGCCTGGTGGCAGATACTGGAGCAGATCAAGGGTCACGATTTTCTCTCTGCCCCTTCCAGCCTAGGAACTGGTTTTCCACAGGCAGTTCCCACCTTAGTCACCAGCCTTTCCCCCAGTGCCTGAATCACCTGATATTGAGGAGTGTCCCATTATTAAAGTGGGGGACAGGGCAAAGAGAGAGTCCAGGGCTGAGAGGGGGCTGGGCTGGAACTAGGAGATGAGGTCTCAACAAGGAGCAGCAGGGAGGTGGCTGAGCTGGCCCAACTGGTCTCCAGACTCTGGCCCAGAGCAGTGCACACACAGACAGGCCAGCAGGCAGGGAGAGCAGGGGGCCTCTTGAAATCTCCAGGATCATTCCAAAACCTGGATCCAGAGGCTATGCTTGAATAAAGGCCTGGATTCCAATGGCATAGCCACCCCCAGCCAAGGAAAGAGACAGATGGAGCTCAAGTGACTCAGACTAAAAACCACTTCCCCCTCAGGGAGGAAGGAGGCAACAACCACGGAACTTGAGGACTGCAGGTTAATCCTGTCCTCACCTCCAGCCCAAAGCCCTCCCTGCCATTCTTAAACCAGAGCCATCATTCCTCTCCCACCACCCAAAACCTCAGCCTCTCCCACCTCAAGGAGACTCAGCTGGGGCCGCAGTTGAAGTCAAGGACCTCTGTGCACCTGCAGGAGCATCCTGGCTAGTCCGGACCCCCACCTCCACCCCAGAGCCATTTCTCAAGAAATTCCAAAGGCTCTGCCCTTTCCTCCCTAAGTGCATGCCCGCTTGTGGGGCCAGGCCTCCTTGGTGGAGGTCACCACCACTCATCACCCTCACCATCCAGTGTGATCCACCAGATAGCAGACAAACAGGGACCTAGGAAGGAAGGACTTACCACTGTGGGAGTGAGCCCAGAGAATCCAGGCAGCAGACACAGCTCCCTCTCACTGCCTTCTGCCTTTATTCCCCTGCTCTCTGTCCCCAGGAAACCAGGGGAGAGAAAGGGCCCATGGGAAGGGGCTGGGGACTTGGGGATGCTCACGTCAGAGCCTCCCAGGATGGAGCTGGGGAGAAACCCCTTCTGTCAATCTCACCTTCCTTGTTTACAAACAAGGGCTGGGGACACACTGAGTTCCCATAGCACACACGTCCCCAATCCCAGAAACTTTATTCTTCTGACCAAAAATCAGAACTCACAATCTGAAATCTGATGGAACAGTAAGCCGAAGAAGGGAAACCAGGTTGTCCTGGGAAGAAAACTTCGGAGGTATGGGCCAAACAGAGGGCACCATCTCCCAGTGTCCTAGGAAGCTCTCCGCATTGGGACCCTCCCACCCATCCTGCCACCCACTCCAGAAGCAGAGAAGACAGCCCTTGAGATGGGGATCAGTGGAGGAAGATACTTTCTGCGAAGGATATGGTCAAGGTCGTGAGCTAATATGGACCCAGAGGTTTTTAAAGGGCTTTTAAATGAATGATTTCTTCTAGGCCTCACTGTTCTTCGCAGGAAAGGCTTGTCGGAGGCTCTTGGCATGGAGGACTGAGAATCAGGAATAGGGAAGGCACCCAGCGAAGGGCTAAGGCCCAGCACTGAGGTAGAGGTTGTGGATTGGGGAGGGGGGTTCGGGCTCAGGTTGCAGTCAAGGAGGGAGTAGGGGCCAGGGAAGTTCCCTGTATCCCAGAAGACACTCGGACATTGCTCTACCACAGTAGAACAACGTACTTCTACCACCAGTCCAAGAACAGACCTGGGCTCAGGGTTTAGTACCTGTCACTGCTACAGTCCCACCCCAGCCTGGGAGGCCTCCCCACTGCTCCCCACTCCACCCCACCCCCAACTGGCAAGGTTGCAGAGGCAGCAGGGATTGGTTGCTATGCAGCAGGCATCTCTGAAGGAGAGCATGATGCAGGTGGAGGCCCCAGGGAGAGTGCTCCCAGGGAGGGTGGATGGAGAGGACAGGGGAAGGCAGCAGACGTTCTCCTGAACTGAAATTCCTCCCAAGTCTCTGCAGTCAAACCCTGAGGGAACATCTGAGTCACCTGCCCCACTCCTCTGAAACCTGAGAGAAAAGCCCCATGTGATGAGAGGAAAGAGGACCCGTAAGAGGAGGTCAGTGGGACCAAGCCCTCCAGCCTCTGCGCCTGATCTCCACGCACTTCTTCCTTAAAGATCCCCGTGTCACCCATGCAGGGCCTTGAAGTCTAACCTCAGCCCACCACTGCACCCTTGAACCACTGGCCTTGAACCTACTTAAGGGGAAGCAATATCATGCCTCATATTTTCTGGGGTGGGGGGGAAATAATCTCAATTTCATTTATCAGATCAAAATTCCACATATGTGGAATTTTGTCTCCAAACTATGGTCACCTTCCCACCCTTTGCCTCACTCCCACCCCAGCCACTGACCCCCACTCATCTCTTCTGAGGTCCCCTTCCCTGAAGGAGCTTGATTCCTGACTGATAACAGATCTCATCCAGGGACCTTTGTGGCAGAGACGGTGGATTCGAGAATGCCTATATTCTCATGCTGCTGCAAACAGCCGGGTCTCCCTCCGCATTGCCTTCCCTGATCCTACCACAGACAGGAAAGGATTAATCCATCCCTGTGGTTTGAAGCCAGGGATCTGGAAGGGGGTGGCAGGACAGAGCCTGGACTGTAAATGTCAGCACTAAGTGCCAGCCCTCCTCCCCATCCCGCTGTCACCTAAGTACTTCCTCCCTGCAGCTCAGCCTTATTCTTTTCCCTCTGACTTCCTCCCAGGACACCCAAACTCCATTCCAGACCCCAGCCAGGAACAGATGTGACCTTCAATTCCAGCCTCGGTTCAAGATCCTGTCAGAGGCAAGGTTGGAGAGAGGTGGGAGGGGTAAGTGGGCTGGCTGAGATCCCACAGCTGGGGCCTTCCAAACCTTGGCAAGGGGGTGGTTATGGGGTCCCCTTCTCAGCTTTGACCTCACTGAGTGAACTTTATTGCCTGTGCATACACTCTTAGTCATCCTGCATCCCTCCTCTGACTTCACTGGTGTGCTCTCCATAAAACTTCCGCTCTCCCCACCACCACCCCACATCTCTCTCAGCCCCCAACCCGTGCCCCCAGAGTCTCTCAAACCATCGGCCTCAAAACTTCCAAGAATCTTTATTGAACTTGCTCAGCATCAAGCACGTGTCTGAAGGAGCCAGGGTGGGGCACTGTGCCCGCTGGCGACAGGGAAGGCCCCAGCTGGCAGAACCCCCAACCACATCAGAGAAGCTTTCATTTCTTCCTGGGCTGCTTATCTGGGAAGCCTTCAAAGAATTCATTACACATCATGGCGATGCAGGACAGGAAGACACAGTACTCTTGGAAGTCCACCTCGTTGTCCCTGTTGCTGTCCAAGTTGCTCATCAGCTTCTGGAATGCAGCTTCATCTGTCCTTTTCTGGAGGGAGAAGAGGCTACAGATAGAAAACAGAAGCCCAGTAGGGGGAGCCAGGACCGGACCCAGTTTCTACTCCCAGACCAGAGTTCAGGGAGGCTCCTTTGGGAGGTCCAGTTTGGAACTCCAACCCTCAAGGCTAAGCTAGAATGGAGAAGGTACTCCTTGGATAAGGAAGTCTGAGTACCTGGTGCAATGGAAAAATGACGGAACCACTACATTTTCACCCAAGGTTGTTCTAATAATCCCATGAGGTAGTAATAGTCATGAAAGCAATATGTAAACTGTATTATGTTTGATACAAATATACATTGTTATTGTTTGAGGGGAATGTCTGCAGGCCTGTGATCATCTCCACATCTGTGTCTTCACATCTACAAGCCAAATAGAAACTCAAACAGTGTCCACTGTTGGCGTGATGGCAAGAGTCAGACAGTCCTGGACCAGATGGCAGCTGTGTACACTGACCACCTTGGGAAGTTACTTAGCACTCTGAGCTTAGTCTTCCCTTCAGTTAAGTTGTGCAAAGCATCTGGCAGTGTCTGACACATTCATTCTCAGCCCTCTTTCAGCATATGGGGCCAGTCAGTGAGCGGTGGTGTTCAATGTGTTTCCACCCCAGGCAGTCACCCCACTGATAGATGCCCTCTGTAGCTAATGCTCTAGAGCAAGACTGCTGCCCTCCTCTGTGGGAAATGCCCCATGTGGGGACACACTCAGGCACTACCCACTCACCCCCAAGAAGCTGGGCAGCTCCCGGGTCAGCAACTCCTTTAGCTCTGATTTGTTGAGCTTGAACTTGTCACCCTCTTTGCCCGAGTACTTGTGGAAGGTGGACACCATCACATCCAGGGCCTTCTCCAGAGGGCACGCCATGACAGCAGTCAGGATCTGGGAGCAGGAGGCACAGAGACCCTCTTATTTACCCCACTCCTCAGAGATGTGTTCAGAATGCCAGGCTCCCCTCCCATCCCTCCAGGAGCACTTGGCGAGACTCTGCTCCCTCCCTGGGGGAGCCCAGAGCAGTGGGCCCAGCACCTGGCGGGGAGGGTGTGCACAGTGGGGAACACATGCTCTGGGCAGTGAACATTTGCAGAACCCACTGCGCAGGCTCTGGAGATTCAGGCAGCAAGCTCCCAGGGCCTTCCAGGCCTCGCCTCAACAACAGCATTTTTTCCATCCCTCGCTCAGTCTATCCACTCCCACGGCTCAGCCACAAAGGCCCCGCCCTGACCATTCTTCTCCCTCCCAGCACTGGGTGCGGCCGCTGGAGGCCTGCCCAGGGGCCTGCAGCGGAAAAAACCAGCTGCTTAGTGCTCAGCGTAGGGAGGGGCAAAGTGAGATGGCAGAGGCAAGGGTTGGAAGAGAAGGTGCAGAGGCCACGCTCCTTCTTGAGCTGGGCTGCTGCGTGCAGGGCAGAGGCTCATGGGGCACACCACCAGACGAATGCCCACAGTTGCCTTCTGCCTTTCCTTTGCTTCCTGCTCCCGAGTGCGCAACCCAGCAAACATGAGCCAGTGCAGATACCCATGGGCACATACATACCAACACATACTATAGCAACAGCATGTGCAAGCCCACATCTCGGAAGCACCTGGAGAGCTCAAATCTAGCCACTTGCTCGCTTTTCTGTTGGTTTTTTCCTCCCTCTTACGTGCATGTGTGTGTGTGCACATGCACACCCACGCACACACTCTACCCAGAGTTCCACATCAGAGTCTCACATCTGGATCTCTTTAGCACATCTGACCCGCACCAGCTTCCCCTTCTCCTGCCCCAGCCCTGGCCTCTGACACCCCTTGCATGCCAGTCAGGCCAACACAACTCACCAAACCAAGAGAGAAGCGCTGAGGAGAGAGGGTTGTAGAGAGGGGAAGAATGGGGACGGCCCAGCGGTCTGACCTATTTATACCCCAGCCAGGCCCTGCCCATAGCAGGGGACAGGGGAGAGTGGATACTGCCTTCCTGCTGTGGGCTGATGTGTTAAGTGCCACAGCACCCTCCACCAGCCCAGCCTTGCAACCAAGTCTCTTGTTTGGGTAACGGGTAAGCCCCAGCGGTTACCAGCAGGGACCTGGATGCAATAGGCACCACCCAGTGTACATAGCTCAGCCTGAGTTTTAGAGAGGTGGAGGAAGGGGTAGTCTGTGCCTGGAGCATGGGGGACAGGGAGGGAGTAGTTCCATCAGGGAGCTAGGAAAGAAGATGCAGGGGGTGGTGGGTGACAGATGGGAGATTGCCCTGGAAATGTGGTGACACAAAAGCTAGGCAGGGGGATGGGAGGATCGCCTGAGGCCAGGAGTTCAAGACCAGCCTAGGCAACATAGTGAGACCTCTGTCTCTATAAAAAGGAAAAACAAAATTTGTTTTTAATTAGATGGGCAGCATGGCTGTAGCCTGTAGTCCCAGCTAGTCAGGAAGCTGAAACAGGAGGATCGTTTGAGCCCAGGAGTTCGAGACTGCAGTTGGCTATGCTCAAGCCACTGCTCTCCAGCCTGGGCAACACAGCAGACCTTGTCTCTTAAAAAAATAAAGACTCAAAAACAAAAACTGGGGCAGGGATCTCCATTCCCAGTACTGTCTGCCATGCCAAGTAAGGCTCAGGGCCGGGGCTGGGGGATCTGGAGGGGAACAGGCTCACACCCAAATGAGGCTCTGGGACCCCTTCAGGAACGTCAATGGGAAAGGTCCTGGGTGAAGTAGTGATGGAGTATGGAGTGGCAGTGACACGTGGGGGCTCACGGATAGATCTCAGGTTCGGAGAGGGTATCAGGAGGGGCCATTTCAAGTTGGGATGAGTGTCAGGAATTAAGAATCCAGGTTGGGGTGGAGAGTTAGAGGTGAAATGGTACGAAATAGGGGAGTTAGAATTCGAGCCAACCTCTCAGGGTGGGCTGCAAACTCAGTGAGAGTTAGAAGTAGGTGGTTAAGGCCCTCAGGGGACTGCGGCTTCAGGGATAGGGGCTGCCTCAAGTTATCCCCTTCCCCCTCCACACAGGGCACAACTTCCTGGCTGGGAGTAAACACCTCAGACACCCTAATCCCATTAGTGCTGCTTTCTGGGCTCCCACAGCCCAGGGCAGGGAACAAACACCCCCACTGTGCCCATGGCCCCACCCTCCTCAGGTCATCCAACCGTGAGCACTGAGTCCCAGGGGAAACTCAGGCGGTCCTCTCTCAAAGACCCCAGAGAGAGAGAGAGAGGAAGGGAGGACAGGGGTCCCTGTGTTGGCCCCACGCCCTCCTGCTGGACCCTGGAGGCCACTGCATTTCTGCAGGGTCTGCAACTTCCCTGGGGGAGCCCCCTGCCCCTGCCCCTGCCCTCAGCTGCCTTCCTGCAGTAGAAAAGGCCAGAAAGGAGCAAAGAACTCAGCAGATGCGTCCTCAGAGAAGAATCAAACAAAACCAAGCTGATGCCAGTTTTTTATTAGGAGTTAAATAGGCCCTTTCCCATCGTGGTCTCATTGGTGCACGCTCTGCTGAGCCTCGAGGGCCTCACAGCAGATCCCGCCTCCTCCCATCCACAAGGGAGGCCGCAGGGGTGCAGCAGGCAGGCTGGGGCCCAGAGTGGCTCTACCCCTCACTTGCTGGGCATCCTGGGAAAGGAGCCCTCACATCTCTGGGCCTCCTAGGTAAAATGGGTTAACTGATCACGGAAGACCTGGGCAAGTCCAGATTGAAAGGGGTACAGGAGAGAGGGTAGGAGGGAGTGTGGGAGACATGCCCAGCCCCCAACAGCCGGCGCACCCCCTGGAGCAGAGGCTACTGGGAGCAGGGGGGATCTGAGGGGCAGTCCTTGAAGTACTCGTGGCAGTAGAGACAGAGGCAGGCAAGTGAGCGCACATACTCCACAAAGTCCACCTCGCAGTCCTTGTTGGTGTCCAGAACACTCATAAATTTGTTGTAGTCACACTCCCGAAACTCAGTCTGTGCAAGGGAAGGGTGGGGAGGAGTGGGGGAGTAGGATGAGGAGGGCAGAACAGCCTCACACGCCACCTCCCTCCCTCCTCTCCCAAGTGGACCCACCCTACCCCAAACTACACCCTTCCGAGGGCCAATTTCAACCTCCCTGCTCTGATAATGCACCCGTTGCAATCCCCTCCCAAATCTGCCCTCTCAGATTATTAATCGAGCACCTGCTATTTGCTACTGAGTGCCTACTATGTGTTAGGCATTCTTCATGGTGCTCTCGCTCAGTCCTCTCAACAACCCTGCAAGGCAGCAGGTGTGATGATTGTCATCCCATTTTATAGATGAGGAAGCTGAGGTTTCTGCTATGTCAGTTCTCCCCTCCCACTTCCTCCTCACAAACCAGCCCCCTCCCCTTGCTGTCCTGTGCTCATGCTTGTCCCCAGGTCTCTCTTGGCAGAGTCTAGGCAGTGCCTCCCACTGGACGAGGAGGGGACAGACACTCCAACTGCTCACCGGGGTCCAGGTGGCCAACTCCTTTTGTAGCAGCTCCTTGAGCTCCGCCTGGCAGAGCTTGTATTTGTCCCCACAGCGCCCTGCATATTCCTGGAAGGTGCACACGATGGCAGCTACCGCCTGCTCCAGAGGCCTGGCCATCCTCACTGTCACAGAACAAAGGTGTGACTCACAGCAGAGTTCCAGGCCAATCCCCCTGCTCACCTCTGCCCTCTGTGTTTCTCAGAGACTGTTCCCAGACCCATCCTAACCTCCATCAGGCTTCAGGCCCCGCAGTCTCCCCCTCCTCTAAGCAGCCCTCCCGGACCACACCAGCCCCTCCTAATTTATCCCCCTGCTGTCCTGTTGTTACTTCCCCGTGTGGAGGTCTCATTGCCCCAACATCACCGCTAACTCCTCAAAGAGACAGCATCCCGCCCCACCACCCACACTCCCCACTGCGGGGCTCCTTAAGCACTCCCGGATTCTCTGCCACCTCTTCTTATCCCCAACACCCAGGGGTGGCTCGGTCCCAGTCTGCCCCAGCCCATGAGATGCCCTAGAAGCCTCCCTCCTGCAGGAACTTGCACAAGGAGAGCCTGGCCCTGTGCTTCTCTGCCCTCAGGCCCTTGGAGAAGCCAGGCCTTAGCAGGGAGGGGCAGGTCTGAGAGGCACCCCCACCACCTCACCACCACTCCCCTCATCCTGCTTCCTGCCCTGAACTCAAGGAAGCTGCATCCAAAAGAAAAACTCGTGGGATCCTCTCTCCCTCTCGCCAGCGGTGCAACCCTGGTGAGTCATTTGTCTCTCTGGGTCTCAGGGGCGGGGCCTAATCTGTAAGGTGGGGTTCATCCCACCTCGCAGGCCTAGTCAGGAGCCTGAACCAGATGATCTCTTGAGAGTTGACCAGTTCGGGTGTTTACCAATCTGAGACTCGCCTGCCCTGAGGTTACCCTCCTGACCCCTGGGGGTTTTGAACAGGAAGGCTCTATATAGGGGTACCCTGTTCTATTGGAGGGGAAGCCCTTCCTGGAATTGCTCACCTCCCCTCACTTCAACTCTCCCCTTCCACCGCCATTCTGGGATGATGCCTCCAGCCTGGGAAAACCCGAAGGTGGCCAGGAAGGCAAGAGTTTTTTCCATGCTAGCCCAGTGACTCACTCCGGGTTCCCCCACGGGACGAGAGTCCTGCAGCACAGGACAGCCAGGGCCAACACTCTCTCTGAAGATTTGCCCACTGCTGGGCCCCTGCTGGGAGCAAATGGCTGGCCTGGTCGAGGCTGGCAGGAAAATAGGGGAAGGAGAGTGGGGGGTGCCAAGCACTGCCAGGATTCGATTCATTGTAAACACCCCAGGATTGGAGCAAGGTGTCCAGGTTCCCAGGAGAGGAAAGGGCCATGATCCTGAGAAATGAGCAGCCTCAGAGGTGAAGCAAGGAGGCAAGGAGCAAGTGAGGGGCCTGACCAAGGGGAACACCAGAACCTTGAGCCCAGTGCTCCCACCCCAAGGCAGACCTTAGCTCTACACACCCCCCAGTCCAAACTTCCCCGACAGCCCCTCACTGTGCAAGGAAACCTCTGCGTCCACTATATCTGACTTCCTTCCCCCTGTCAGGCCCACCTGTGGTCATCTCTCCGCTTCCAATGCCAGACCCTGGGTCAGGAGTCAGGTTGGCTATTGGGGGTCCCCCAAACTGCCCTGACACTCAACCCAGGGCAGGACCCAAGCAGCTGGCACTTACCGCTGGTGCTGGCGTTTCAGCTGTAGGAGCTTAGAGACAGGGCCTCACTATTTGTAGCCTCCCAAGAAAGGAAGGAAGCAATTATGGGAGACTCAAGTAGGTCAACACTGAGGATGCCCTCAGGGATCTCTCAGCAGCCCCATTACAGGCCCCACCTGCCCACCTATCCACGCACACATCAAAGGCCAGTCTGGGCTCAGATACCACTCCCCTTTCATTCCCCCTCTGCCCTCCCCCAGAGTTGGGAACTGGGGACAGCTTCCTGCCGAGTCCTTCCAGTTCAGTTGGAGAAGACAGGCTGGCCTATCCAGCACATCACAGCCCCATCTCTTCACTCTGCAGAGGCCCGAGAATACCAAGTGGGGACACACTTCTGCCTTGCTCAGGTTGCACCCCTACAAATCTCTATTCCAGAGAGACCTTGGAGAGCATGTGGCTAAGCCTCCCCTTTACAGATGAGAAGTCTGAACTTGCCTAACCAGAGCACAGCTTTTGGCTGTGAACTGCTCGCTTCCCCGGGGGAAATCATCAGGTGGGATGTCTTTGAAGCACAGGGGCACTTCCAGCAATCTAAGCTTGAGTTTTCTGGCCTTTTCCAGGTGATGGGAATGAATTTGGGCTAGAGTCACATGAAGGCTGGCCCGAGGATGGAGCTCCTTAAGGGCTATTTTCCTTCTTCCCCTGCTCTGCTCAGCACCAAAATAACCTTCCTTGAGGTCTTGTGCGAGGCAGGATGGGATTTCCTCTGGCTTTTAGCTTGAGTGTGTAGCCTTTTGGGGTCTCAGCATCATGGAAGGGTCAGCCATTTGTGTCCCCTCCTGGGGTGAGCCCTGGGCTTCCACTTCTGTCTTCCTCACTCCCCAAACCATCAAGATCAAAGCTCAGGTTCGGCTTGGCTTGGCCAATGACCTCAGGGCACCGGGGACCCCAGTACAGATTCAGCTTTGACTTAGATTTTGACCTACTCATTTCTTACTGCCTTGTGGGCTCTTCAATGCTTTGAAAAGATTTAATTCTATGCAGCGTTTTTTGTTGCTTTTAGCTGGAGTGGACCCAGACCACCATATTACCGGAAACAGACACCTTTCACGTAATTTCTCTATTCTTTCCTTCACACCGGAGCTTGAGAAACTCCTCCCTGTTTCATAGGAAGAGAACCCAAAACCTAGAAGAGCGTGAGAGACAAAAGAGGAAGGAGACTGACTCCCAGGCTGGCAAAGAAGCCTTCCTGCCTGTGCAGGCAGCCAGAGCACCAGTGACACCTTTGACCTTGCCCTCGGCCCCCAGCACCCAAGTCTTGCCTGTTCCATCCTCTCCTGGGAGACTGAGCCCAGTTGGGGAGAAGAGTGAGCAATAAAGGAGGGAAGTAAAGGTGGAGCTGTGAATAGCCCTGTTTTATAGGTCAGGAAATATGGGAGAAAGGTGCAGAGAACAAGAGACAGTCACTCAGCAGAAGTGGGGGCCAGAGTGCACCAGCAATTAATTCAGCTCTAGGTCGAGCACTTATTCCCGCCTGTGATATCCCAGCTCTGCCCCCCAGCCACCTCCCTTAAGCAGCCACCTCTGCTCTCAGGGCTTCATTTTACTCATATGTCGGTGATGGAGGGTGATAATAGTAACTACCTCATAGGTTTGTGTGGGGCTTAAATAAGCTAATACATATAAAGTTCATAGAATAAATAGTGTCAAGCACATGGCAAGGGCTTGATAAATGTTAATCAAGAGATGGGTGAGGCTGGTGCAGTGGCTCACGCCTATAATAACAGCACTTTGGGAGGCCAAGGCGAGCAGATCACCTGAGGTCAGGAGTTCGAGACCAGCCTGGCCAACATGGTGAAACCCCATCTCTACTAAAACTACAAAAATTAACTGAGCATGTTGGCAGACGCCTGTAATCCCAGCTACTCAGGAGGCTGAGGCAGGAGAATCGCTTGAACCCAGGAGACAGAGGTTGAGTGAGCTGAGATCGTGCCACTGCACTCCAGCCTGGGCAAGAGAGCAAGACGCTGTGTCAAAAAAAAAAAAAAAAAAAAAAAACAAAGAGAGAGAGAGAGAGAGTTGGGTAACTTGCCCAGGGTCACATAACTAGTGAGTGGCAGGCCTAGCAGGCTTTCATTTTCCGTATAAATATTTAGAGGCACTGGGGGTACAGCCGCAAACAAAACAAAAGTCCCTGCTTCATGGAGATGACAGTCTCTTGGGGAAAACAGACAATAACAAAATAGATGTTTAATAGATTGCTGATATAAATGCTATGAAGAAAAGTAAAGCAGAGCTGGGAGAAAGAAGATGATGGTAGGGAGTGATGCACTTTATTAATATGTGGGTGGTCAGGGAAGAGCCCAGCAGCCCGGCTCCTTGCCCATGTCCTCATCCACCAGCCCCTGGCGTTTCTCAGCTTGGCAGACCTCTCTGGGATGCAGCACCTTGGTTTGTCCACTGGGAGAGACCCGGGAGAGACTCAGACTGAGACTGTGGGGAGGGCAGGAGCTCACTCTGGGAGGTGAGGCCTGAGGGGCTGGGTAGGAGGACAGAGTGGTCAAGGTACAGGACTTTGGGGCTGGTGGACTGTCATGGAAAGAACCTGTAGGTTCTACCTTCCTGTTGCCACCTGCCCTCAAGCATGTTACATTCTTTACCTTGTTAGAGCCTTAATTTCCTTACCTCCAAAATGGGCTTAGAAGATTCCTACCCTGAGAATCCGACATGAAAGTGCTTTCTATCACTTGCTGTTACTGTGAACAATGTCAGGGCAGAGGCCTCTGAGTCCAATTCAACAAACAGACACTGAATCACCTCAAGGGGGGCTGCAGGGAGGGGAGGGAGAGAAGCAGCCTCTCCCACAACAGGTCACTTGGTCCTGCCTCCTCCATGCAGGTGGAGGGGAGAGCTGTAACTTCCCTTCCTTTCACAGACTCTTCTTGGGGTGATTGGACTCTCTGTCCTGCTGGAAGTTTGGAAGTTCTTCCCCAGCAACTCCCCGGAATCTCCCTTTCTGCAGTGGTTCCGAATGCATCCCACATGAACCACCCTTCTGAGGCCTGGAGAGGGACCATCCTCCTCCCACACCCCCTCCAGTGTCCACACACTCAATACTTCACAGTCAGGCTGAGCCCAGGACCTTGCCACTCACCTTCCAGAGCTCCCCCCGCTGCAGATGTGGAGCTGACCACTGAGAAGTGCACCATATTTGGAGGGCAAGGAGCTCTCTTCCCGTAGGGACAGCATGTGTGGGTACATGAAGGGTGAGAGCAGATGCTATCCGATCTGGCAGGACTTATTACAGCACTGACTCTCTCTCCCCTGCACCTATTCTCCCTGGCTCTGTCTCCCCAATATCACCACTATCATCATATGCCCTTGGAAACTGCACTGCCTCCCTGAAGGTCAGTGTCTGGTTCTGCACCGCAGGGAGGAACAAGATAAAGTGTCCTGAGCTTCTGAATATTCCACATGCTTGTGCCAAAAGGGCCTGGGCCCCAGGAGACAGGGTGAACCCACACCAATTCCATAACCCCATGGGACCAATGAACCTTGTCAAAATGATCAGCTTCCTTTCTCATCATCTGAGCCAAATACAGGGAAGGCGTAGGAAGGGGCATTTGATGACTGGGACTGGTGTGGAGCCAGGAAGGCCTTTGCTACAGAACTGGGGACTGAGCCTGGGGAGATAGGAAGAGGATCTGAACTGAGATCAAAGAGGCCTGTGGACCTACTACTTAGACCTACTACTTCTTTTGACTGCCAAGTCAGTGACTGATTGTGACCAATTCATAGATGAGAGCAGTGAGTCAGTGGAGACATCAAGTACCTAAAGACAAGGGCATGGGGGCTCTATTTCAGCCGGTCCCTTGTCTCAGAGCCCACCTTTGCCTTCATTCTCTCTTTTCTTGGAGGATTAATAGGCTACCAGGGATTAATTCAAAAAAGCAAACGCCAAAGTGACAGTAGGGCAGGATGCAGGGTGAGGTATGTGTTCCTGAGGCTCTCCCCCGGCGGCAGTTCTAGGAGGAAGTGGGAGAGAACTGGCCCAACAAACCTTTGAACAGAGCTATTTCTAGACTCTCCTCCTCTGTGCCTCTGCACAGAGATTTGGGGAGAGGAAAGGGGATAAGGGAAGATTGCTGGAACCATCTGGGAAAGTGGTGTTTGTTAGTTTGTCAAACGCCCAGAAGGAAAGGAAATCAGCCTCCTTCAGAACCTGCCCAGCTCCGGGGCAGCCAGCTGAGGCTAGTCTCCACCAGCCAAAACAGCCCCAGCACCTGAGCCCCAAAAGAAGCCAGGAATTGTTGTGAGCCTAAGGCCCAAAAGAAACCAGACTGCACTAATCCACCAGGAGCAAGGGGGCCTGCTTCCCCCAGTGACTCAGGATAGGGACACTGAGAGTCTGGACGCTGCTCATCCGGGTCCCCTTCACCTTA